AAAAAAATTAAGTTATATTTTACAAATGTTTATATTTACAACTCAGGCCAATTGTTAATAGGTGTGTTCATTTAATCGATAATTTGTACAAATTTGTACACATTTTTATTGGAGGCTGCTCGTTTACCCCAAAGTCCAATAAGTGAGAACGAAATGAGAAAGACATTTTGACGTTTGAGTTACTGAGAGTTTGCAAATTCTTACTGGGTATTATACAGTAATATCAGCTGCTCAATAACCAGTTGTTTTGTAAACAAACAAACAAACTAATTTAGCCAATCTATTTCTGAAGAAAAAAACAATTTGATTTATTAACAAAAAAAATAGATAATTGAAACGTATGTCATGGTAAAACTAAGAAGGTAAAGTCATTTCAAATAAGCATTTTTTGTAATTTACGTTTTCGAATTTTACTGCATAGAATTCAGGTTTCCATTTCTGATTTATGTATGGATTTATAAGTATACATTTTAACAATGAGATGTTGTCAAATGATTTTTTTTGAAAAAATTGTAAACATAAGGTTCCTCGATTTTACCTTCTTCATTCTACCATAATCTTAAGTAAAGATGAACAGTAAATAATTAAAGAGCGGAGGGTAAGCTTTTTGTCTCATTTAGGTGTCAAATTCAGCAAAAAAAATTTGCATCCGAGGAACACCATTGGCCATGTTTATATCATTTGGAGATGCTGGAATACAAGTGAGAATACGAGGAACGTTTTTTTGAATGGCTTAAGTCATCGCATGGAAAATATAAGAAGGTAAAGTCATGTAAACATGTGTTCACATTTTTTTTTTTTCAAAATTATTCATTTGACAACATTTCATTGCCAAAATGTATATTTATAAATCTATGTATATATACATACACAAATCAGAGATGGGAAACTGCTTTCTATGAAGTGAAATTTGACAAGGTAAATTACAGAATATGTAAAGATGGGAATGCTTATTCTAAATTTTACCATGAGTCATCGGCTGGCTTCTTCGTAGAGGAACAAAGGAATTTTAGGTTGACTTAGTTTGATTTTGGCCCTATGCTCCTTTGTTCTTTTCCGAAGAAGCCAGTCAAAAAAGCATTTTATGTATTCTCACCTTAAGACAGTATCCTTGTGCATGGAAGGAGCATACGTTTTTTATTACTATTTTTTTTTTTTTGTAATGAAAATGTTTGAGATTTTTTCTGTCGAGAGAGAAGAAATCGTATTTTTTCTCAATAACTTCTTACTGAGTAAATGTTACTGTGAAAGTAAACGAACGAATCATGGTAGAATAATACATAATTGGGAACATGTAAATGTCAAAATTTTTTAATGTTTTTTTTTTCAAAAATAAGTAGATTTTCAAGTTTTCTTATAGGACACCAATCGGATATTGTTATGATATGCATTTTCAACGATTTTTACAAATTTCAATAATTTTTCATTCCAAATTTTCAATTTCAAAATTGGTTTCACAATTCATTGTCCCAGAAAAACGAAGATATTACCCAATTTTTTATAAAAAGTGTTTTAGAGTTTAGCGCTTAAACATAATTATAATATAATTTCATTTTGTATTCGTTTTGCAAAATCTTGAAATATATCAATAATGTCTGTATCAACTCTGAGATTTAGATTGTTTTATGTTTTCTTTTACGACGCAAATCGGATGTTGTTATTTTCCACAGTTTTAACAAATTTCAATAATTTTTCATTTAACATGTTCAATTCCAAAATAAGTTTGACATTTCATTGTCCTTGGGAACATTGATATGTTAAAAAAAATTAATGTATTTTCAAATATAAGTAGATTTTTATATGTTTTCTTATACGACATCATATTACGTATATAATATTATAATACGCGTTTTTAACAATTTTTACAAATTTAAATAATTTTTCATTCATCATTTTCAATTCCAAAATTGGTTTGACAGTTCATTGTCCCAGCAACTGTGTCGATGCGTCTACCTATATTCTTCTACCATGGAAATTCCTGTAAAATCAGCTGATTGATTGCTTACAAATTTCAGGCAATAACAGTACGTTTACAGTTTACCAGATTTTGAAAACTCTGTGGATTTAAATTGTCTATTTAATTGCATATACGTCAAAGAAATCCTCATGAAGAAAGAAATTCTAATGTAAACTGACTATAGTTTACCAATTTTTATTATTTTTCAGATATTAAACATGGTAAAATAAGGAAGGTAAGGGCATTTCAAATAAGAATATCTCAGCATTTTCTGTAATTTTCCTTGTCAAATTTCAGTGCATAGAAAAAATGTTTTAAGAAAGTATATGTCACGAGGTTACCTTTCTTGTTCTATCGTGCAAAGTATCTGTACATTCTTTCAATAGCAATAAGAATATATCATAAATCTACTTTCAAATCCGTCGTAAATTTTCCACCTACCAACTGCAATGTAAAAAATTTGCAACGTGGACTGACTGACCATTTACACTTTACAGCGGAAAGAGGGGGTATGTCACAATGGAAGATAAGGACATTAATGAAATAATGGCAATCAATGTTATCTGTATTTCATATAAATAGACCATAACTACCGTTAACATCAAACATTACAAGTTTGCTCAACCATGATGGTTACAACGATATTTCTAACTGTGCTTGTCATACTCGCTGGTGTGACCAATTCGTATGGCGATCCGGTGACATGTGTATTGAGGAATATAACAAAGACGGTAAGGTGGGAAAAATTTACTACATGTGTATCAATTTCAATATGCTATAATTGTTTATTAGGATGAACGCGCCCGTCGTAATGGCTATCCTTCGGAATCCCATTTTGTAACCACTCCTGACGGTTATGTTTTGAATCTATTCCGTATTCCCTATTCAAATAATCTGAAGAACGAAAACGCCTATCGTCCTGCCGTTTTACTTCAACATGGTCTATTAAGTAATTCCGATTGTTGGATATCTGGTGGTCCAGACAATGCCTTGGCCTATTTACTGGCCGATGCAGGATTCGATGTGTGGCTGGGAAATGCTCGAGGAAATACCTATTCCCGAAATAATACCATTATTTCCCTTAACAGCCCCAAATTCTGGCATTTTGACTGGCATGAAATTGGTACTATAGATATTCCGACCATGATTGACTATATTATTGAAAAAACTGGACAACGTAAGATTCATTATGCCGGCCACTCGCAAGGTACCACTGTGTACTTTGTCATGTTATCTGAACGCAAGGAGTACAATAAGAAAATCAAATCTGCTCACATGTTAGCTCCTTGTGCCTTCTTTGAACATGGTTCGTCAGCTGCATTCAAAGTATTCCGTCCTTTGGTCGGTACTCCGGGTGGTATTTATAATCAAGTACTTGCCGATATGGAATTGATGCCACAAAATCGTCTAATCAATCGTCTAGGAGACACTGCCTGTGGTTTAGATCCGCCGCTAAAATTTTTGTGTAAAAATATGTGGATATTATTTGCCGGTGAGGGTTATCAAAACACTAATTTGACGGCCTTACAAGAATTGATGGAAACCCATCCGGGCAGTTGTTCCAGCAATCAAGGAATACACTACATACAATTGAGTGGCCATAATGTGGGTCGTTTCTGTCAAATGGATTATGGAGCGAAGAAAAATAAGGAGGTTTATGGCCAACCAATTGCTCCGGATTATAATTTGGATAATATTGTGGCGCCAACTTATCTGTACTCGAGCAACAATGATGGACTCTGTGGTCCCAAGGATGTCAATACATTGGTTTCTAAAATTAAAAACTTAGCCGGAGATTATCGTGTACCAGATTTAACGTTTAATCATTTGGACTTTGTTGTGGCCAAGAATATGAGAAGAATGGTTAACGAGCCGGTCATTAAAAATATTTTCAAACATGAAAATGAATTTTAACCGGGAAATTTAATGATGATGTATTAAATTACAGAAATGATCAAATATAAGAAAATGCTTAAAAAAGGATACTATTCAAGGCACTATTACCAAGGTAATCTATCATCCGATTACAATTTTTTATACGATGTCCATAATTTGAGAAATTTTAATTTTGTACTTCTTCCTTAAAAATGAGCGTACAGCTGACAAGAAATTTATTTTCGACAAATATTTTGGCATTTTTATGCCTTTTAGAGGATATTAAAGACAATTAACATTCCAGAACTTGATTCCAGAACATAATTGTCCAGAATCTGCAAGACCAATAGTTTTTACTACAATAACTAATTCTTCCTTTATGGTATCTAAAAAGTAGCAAAACTAGTAGATTATTCATGTTGTGGAACAGAGCTCATATGACATGCACAAGCGATTTTTAATAATCGATTAATCGGTTTTCACAACAGTCCACAGTCGACGACGGCTATCAGAACTTTGAGTACTAAAAGTCGATTAATCGAAAGTCGAGTTACCTAGTGTATTGTATTTGTGTGTTACTTCTAGAAGAAAGAGGTCGTCTATATTTACAGTAAATTTTTTGTCGCAAGCTAAATTTTTTTTGTTTTAATCGTAAGTATTATATTGAATAATTATTAAAGTTTAAACAAAAATATATTTTAAAATAAAATTAAGTGGTATTGTGCTATTGAAAAAGAAGTCATTTTGTGAAGTGCTGTAAAATATTTCGTAAAATGGCTGCCCTCAAAAAATGCACGCACACATGGTCAAATCAGAGTTGATGGATTTTTTTGTTCGTAGAACAACGTCAATGACGTGTTATATTAAAAATAGAATTGTTGGGAAACAAGAGAAAAAAGCAGCTAATTGATGTGAAAATAATCGGATTATATCTTATTTTGTATGTAACAAGAAACATATTTTTTTTTTTTTTTTTTTTTTTGTTAAATATGTTCTTTGTTTTATTCATTTTCTGTACATTTTCTTCGTAAGTTGCTTTTCGAGCTCTTTTTTATGATTTTCTACTACCTTCGATTACAACCCTGTCAATATGGCGTTGATGTGCATTCATTTCCTGTGATTCTGACGTATGTAGTGAGCGCCGCGAGCACATGTCATTTTCTCTCATTTAGTTTTTGGATTTCGCGAGCTCAAGTGGTTTCGTTGGACTCGTTTTTATAATTTGATAATTTTTTAATTTTCATTTTTCTCAAAACTATTGTCCTTAGTCGCCAGTAATAGCAAATAATTAAGTGAAAAAGAAATTAGTAAAAGTAACATATTGTGATAAAAAAATTTAATTTTTCTAGAACTTAGTAAGTAAGAACAAAGCATAAAGAAGTTTTCGTACCGCGTTTGTGACTTGGAAATCAACAGTTGAGTTCGTGTCATTTTTTTGATATTCGTCATAAGCAGCAAGAAATAGAAAGTTGAGAGAAAGGCCGTGTGTGTCCAGTGTGTGTGTGGAATCAGCAAAGAAATATTAAATTAGAAACGCATAAAGAAACAAGGTTAAATTAATTACATTACAAAGAGTTGTTGAAACAACTACTAGACGACAGCAAGTAGTAGAAGGAAAACTACTTTTCATCTTAATTGACTAAATTTTCTTTTCCTGTTAGTTTTATATGTAAGTAGCAATTGCAATGCCATTTTTTTATATTTTATTATTAATTTTGTTTGCATTCCGCCCTTGCCATAACTGGAAAATATTCTTTGGTCGTTTTTCATCGTTCTTTGTGGATTAATTTATTTTTTTCCCATTGTAATTTCATTGACCTCATTTCTTGTTTTTAAAGAATTTTTCTGGTTCTCTTCGATCTCTTGTATATATGTGATTTCTCTTTTTTTATTCTCTTAGTACGTTACACTGTGGGGACTCTTTTCAAGGTGATTTTGTCATTGCTTGTGTGTGAGATTTCTTTTCTTACTTTGTGTGCGTCGTGTGTCAAAATTTGGTTGTTGTTTTCGCGTTTGATAAAAGATTGAGGTTAGAATTTATAAAATTGCCGCACAATACGTGGACGGAGAAAATGACTGGGCTAATTAGTTGTTACAAAAGATGCAATAAAAATCGTGAACAAAAATTCCTTGCATATTCTTCATAAGATCGGTTGGTTGGCTTATAAGACATATCTGACTGGGGAACGAATGCATTTACAATTGAAAGCATGCTTTAACTTTTCTATCCTTCCATTGCATTTTTTGTCAGAAATCATTTAATCCCCACGAGAAATATTGGTTTTGTTATTTGAGGCAATCCGAGATAGATAGACGTATGAAAGAAAATCTAAGTCCATTTGGAAGGGAAGAGACAATGGAATTGGAAAAATTCAACTTTCTTTCGCGAAACATGAATATTCATGGTTAGGAAAATCTCTTGCCCGCAACAACTCAGTGGTTCAAATTTCAATTATTTTTTTGTAGCATTCTACTTGTCTCCTTTCTTGAAAACAATACACCACAGGATTGTGAGTAATATGGGAATGCTATAAAAATTGCGCGAGTATTTTGGGTGCTCAAGATATCTAAAAATAGTATCATTTGGCCAGCAAATACTCATACATTTTTTACTAACCCAAAAGTAAATCTTTATAAAATCTTATCACTATTTCGATTAGCTAACAAATATCCATATTTTTGATTTTGATTTTTTTCTAGCAATTTATTGTATGAGTCAAAAAACTGAAAGACCAGTACTATCAGGTCAGCGCATCAAGACCAGAAAAAGAGATGAAAGAGAAAAATATGACCCAACGGGATTCCGTGATGCGGTCATTGCTGGTCTCGAAAAAACTGAAGGTGACTTAGATGAAATCTCCAAATTTTTACATAGCGCTGGTAATAAACTTGATTATCGCCGTTACGGCGAAGTACTATTTGACATATTAATAGCTGGTGGTCTCTTGGGTAAGTTTCCTTTTTTTCTGGGTTATTACACACTGTGTGTTTCATTGTATTTATGTTGTTGTTTTGTTATTTTCAGTTCCTGGTGGGTCAATCTCTCAGGATGGCGAGAAGCCAAGCACAAACTATTGTATATTCCAAGCCCCAGAGGACATGGAATCGATGCGGAACCATGAGCAGGTAGGAATTTTCATATATAAAACAATATAAAAATACCACCTATTATTTGTGTATTTTAGTTTTGAGAAATTACAACAGAATTCAAGCCAATTTAAATGTTAATCATATATGTAATGTATTGTAAGGTTATGTGGATGTAGCAAGATATGAACACCTTTAAATATTGGGAAATTTTATGTTATAAAATTCTAAGGCCATTACTTAAGTCCTTTGGATTTCGGTTCAACAACCAACACTTTTTCGAAAGGTATTAACCACAGAACTATGGACGTCTCAATTTTTGTGCAATATATCCTCGATGTGAACAAAACAATAGACGAAACTCCAATCTATATTTGTTCTACAACTTAAAGTAGTGATCCCCATTCTACATTAGAAAATAAGCCTCTTATTCTGGAGGCAGGCACAGAAAATTCTCAATATTTTTTAAGTAAATGTAGATTATTGCCGAAACTATCACTTCTGCTGAACATATTTCCCAAAACATAATTTTTATTTCATAAATACTTCCCCACGATAACAATGCGAGAGTGCATTTAACGCCGTATTTTTTAATATCCAATAAAATAGGAAAACAATGACATTTCCTGATCGCTCAAGGAAAAATGTTGCGGAAATAAGTTTAAAGCTTTGTAAAAACACATCCAAAACAAATATCAAAAACGACTGCTTTTAGCAATGTCGGAACAAAAACAGTCATTATTTGTATAGAGAGCGGGAACAATGAGTTTGTTATCCACAAATTAACTTTGGGAGTCTCCTCTCTTTTCCCCATATTTTTTAGCCATATTTTAGCCATGCACCATATTAGAACTAGGTTAACTGATTCTCTCAAGTTTTCTTAGTGTCGAATGAATGCTATAGAAATATCATATTATTACTTGTCTGACCATTTCGCTTTTTTTTCAAGCAAAGAAGCTTATCCATGAAATGGCCAGATTTCTTTATATGAAACAAATTTGATTTACAATGCAATGCATTATAGGTATGTTAGATCCCTTCTTTATGCACCATATTAGAACTGGATTTGTCTGATATGATAGCTTATCTAGTGTCGACTGTGTGCTATAGCAATATCACATATTTACTTGTCTGGTTATTTTTTCTTTTTTTTAAAGAAGATTTATATGAAATTTCTAGATTTCTTTATGTGATACAACAATCTTGCTATATTTATGTCTACATATATACATAGTCGCCGCATTATATGTATGTTTATTTTATTTTTATACATTTCAATATTAACACTTTGATGCGTTTGTGTGTGTGGTGTTATAAACTAATAAATGTGTATATTTGTTTTTGTTTACTTTATAGGTGTTCGTCAATCTCATGCGTCGATATAAGTACTTGGAGAAGATGTTCGAAGAAGAAATGAAGAAAGTATTAGTCTTCATTAAAGGTTTTACTCCAATTGAACGCGTTAAACTTGCGCGTATGACAGCGCTATGGTTATGTATGTATCTGATTATGTTTACTTATTTTTAGGGCTTTATGTAGACTCTCTTTTAATTAATTATGCTGAAGTAAAACATAAAAGAATCTATATTTTTGAATTTACAAATTCATACTGTTTTGTCCGATTCTTTTGCATTTTTTTTTACTATTTTTGAAATTTAATGTCTTGGCTTTGCCACTTTAACCAAATTTGGTTTTTATCATTGTTTACTTTTGATAAAGATTAATATATGAGTGGCATAGTAATTTGTTTGGCGTACTGACTTTTGTTTTACAACCAGAAGCGAAAGACACAAACCCAATAACAGTTTTTTCTTTTATTTATTATTTTTATTGTATTTTATAATCTCAGACACATGATTATGGTCTTTATTAATTTTCCTTTATAAATGTTTTTTTCTTTGCAGCCAATGGTTCTGTGCCACCAAGTGTACTATTGGTGCTCAATAATGAGCACTTGATTAAGGATGGCATTGCTCTCGATTTTCTGGTTGAGCTATTTGTCACCTTTAAACAAGAAAAGGGAATTCAATCTCTTATACAGACACTGAAAAAGGGTGGACTTGAAAGCAAGTAAGTATAATTTAACCGGATCTAAAACTGTTTTCATTAAGGCTAATTATATCGAATTAATTTAGAACAGAAACAAAGCTTTAAAGATTAAAATGAAAAAAGGGGATATTTATTTAGAAAATGGGTTGAAGGAAAAAGAAAGCAACAAAGTCAAACACAATAATTTTGATATATTTTTTTTTTAATTTTATTGAATGAAAGCAAAAAATGTCGGAAATAGCATCAAATTTTATAATAAGTATAGATTTGGCTTAGAAATGACAGCAGTCTGAATTTGGTTGCAGTTTTTTCATCTCACCTGATAGAACATAAAAATTTATCAGATAATAAAAAAAAATTGAAAAAAATGAATGTTATATTTGAATAAGTTAATATTTTAAAACATTGGGAGAGTTTCAGGAAGAAATTTGTTTATATTTTACCCAGAATAATTTCTTTAATTAACGCTCCCAGATCAACATAGGATTCGGATTTAATTTGCAAATGTTTAACAACGAACTTTTGTGTTCTAATTTGAATTCTAAAAAACTTTTTGTATATTAAAAACTTATTTATTATTTGTTTAAATTTTTTATTATTTTTTTTATTTATTACTTTTTGTATTGTATTTATTGTTATTTTATTTTTTTATTTAATAATTTTTTTATTTATTAATTTTTTTATTTATTAATTTTTTTATTGATTATTGTTTGTTTTATTAACAATTTTTACTTTTTATTCATAATTTTTATTTTTATTCATAATTTTTATTTATTATATTTTTATTTGTTATATTTTTTATTTATTATTTTTTACTTATATTTTTGATTTTATTTATTATTTCATTTATTTATTTTTTATTTATTAATTATTATTTTTTTATTTATTATTAATTTTTTTTTATTTATTTATAATTTTTTTTTTTTATTTTATTATTATCTTTTATTTATTATTTATTTTTATTTAATTAATTATTATTTTTTTATTTATTTTTCTTTATTTTTTTTATTTATTAATTTGTTCTTTTATTTATTATTTTTTATTCAATATTTTTTTATTTATTTTTTTTTCATTATTTTTTTATTTATTATTTTTTATTCATTTTTTTTTATTTATTTTTTATTTATTATTATTTATTCATTATTTTTCTTATTATTTTTTATATGTATTATTTTTTATTTATTATTAATTAATTTTTTTTATTTATTTATAATTATTAATTTTTTGATTTGTTTTTTTATTTACAATTTTTATTTATTTTTATTTCTTTTTATTTATAATTTTTATTTTTTTATTTATTAATGTTTTATTTTATTTATTATTTTTTTATTTACAATTTTTATTTATTTTTTATTTCTTTTTATTTATAGTTTTTATTTTTTTATTTATTAACGTTTTATTTTATTTATTATTTTTTATTCATTATTTTTTATTTATTAGTTTTTTATTTATTAGTTTTTTATTTATTATTTTTTATTCATTATTTTTTTAATTTATTATTATTCATTCATTATATTTTTATTTTTTTATTATTCTATTTATTATTTATTTATATATTTATTTTATTTATTATTTTTTTATTTATTATTTATTTATTTTTATTTATTATTTTTATTTTATTTATTATTTTTATTTTATTTATTTTTTATTCAATTTTTTATTTTTTATTCAATTTTTTTATTTTTTATAATTATTTTTATTTCTTTGTTTATTTTTTATTATTTATTTATTTATTTATTTGTATTTTTTTACTTATTTTTAATTTGTTTATTTTTTAATATTTTTTTTCTATACATTTATTTTTATTTATTTATTTATATTTATTTATTTATATTTTCTTATTTATTTTTTTTATTTTTTCCTATATTTATGTTGTTTTTTTTTAATTTAAAATTTGTATTTATTTTTTTATTGTTTATTTATATTTAATTTATTTTTTCTAATACATAACATACTAAATCACATTTTTTCACCTCTACCTTCCTTTGCAGACTCATGGACTTTTTCCCACCAAACAAACGTACTGAAGAGAACTTCAAACAGGTATTCCTTGATAAAGAACTAACCGAAATTATCAAATTGCATAAAGCTCAGGCCAGTCAAGAGGCTAAACGTGAATTGCAACAAACTCTTATCGATGACATTCACGATGAGAAACCCCACTCGGAAATCAGTGCTAATATCAAAGAATTGGCACAAAAATCCAACATTCCCGACAATGAAATCATCATCATCATATGGTCAACAATCATGTCATTGGGTGAATGGAATAAAAAGGAAGAGCTTGTCACCGAACAGGCTGTACGCCATCTAAAGGGCTATTGCCCATTGTTCCAGGCATTTGCCACCACCGATCGTGCCGAAACAGCATTGATCTTGAAAGTTCAGGAGTTTTGTTATGAAAACATGAACTTTATGAAGGCCTTCCAAAAGATTATTTTGTTGTTCTACAAAAGTGAGTATTGAATATTTGATAATAAATTGCAATCTTTCTTTTTTTTTTCTTTTTCGTGGCACATACTAGAGATTGTCATTGGTCTTGTTTTAAATATCAATTGACAATGTACCAGTGTGCCAGATAAATTACTAAACATTTATGAGAATCATTGATTGGGTGTCCTAGTCTAACAAATTTGTCACGTTTTCTAGGCCATTTGTCAATGGTACACTCTGTTTGTTATGCTTCTTCCTTTTTCTATTTTCTTTTCCTTTCAATATTCTAATGATTGTTTTCTTTTTTTAACTTTACAGCTGAAATCCTATCCGAAGAGGTTATTTTGCGTTGGTACAAAGAAAACAACTCTGTCAAGGGTAAAATGCATTTCCTTGAACAAATGAAGAAATTTGTAGAATGGCTGCAAAATGCTGAAGAAGGTTAGTATTTCCTTATTTTACAAAGAATTTTTATTTAATTTCACATTGTTTATTAAGAATATTTCAAAATATTTCGAGAGCGAGATGTGAAACGTGTAATATTCGCCCAAATAGTATGGAATTATGAACATACGACAAAATTAGGCCTGGAAATGAGTATGCCAAATTTGATAAAAATAGGTTCAGATATAGCTCTAGTTCCCACATATATTGTTCATCCGATTTGTTATATATGTGCTCCGCAGCCGTAATATGCACTCCGTAGTAATGATATTCGGGAAAATATATAAACTACAGCTCAGAAATACCTCTGCCAAATTTTACCGAGATCGGTTCAGGTTTGCTGCATATAGCTCCCATATATATCTTCGTCCGATTTGCCTTTTATTGTGCACCAAACGTGTAATATTTGAACAAATGGGATGGAATTTGGCACTAAGGGTCAAATTGAGTCTAAAAACAAGTGTGTCAAATTTTGTGGAAATCGCTAAGCTATGGCCCATATATATTGTTCATCCTATGTGTTGAATTTTGCCTCCACAGCCTTAATATGCACTCTGTAACAGCGATATTTGGGGAAAATATGAAATATAGCTCAGAAATACCTTTGCCAAACTTTATCGAGATCGGTTCAAGATTTGGATATAGCTCCCATATATATCTTAATTCGATCCACCCGACTTTAAAACTTTCCTTACTGTTTTTGCTATGCATACTTTTGAGAAGGCTGTTGATTTATTATTCTGATCAATATGCTGTGTACCTGTATGCCAGATCAATTCATAACCAGCATTAATTGGGTGTCCTAGCTACTTTTACATAGTTATACTAGGCCAATAATTAGTGTTACAATATCATTAGTTTTCTGAATTCCTATAATACATTATATGAAGTAATTCCATTAGCATACTTTTGAGAAGGCTGTTGACTTAATTATCCTTATCAATAAGCTGTGTACCTGTATGCCAGAGCAATACATACCAGCATTAATTGGGTGTCCTAGCTACTTTTGCATAGTTATACTAGGCCAATAATTAGTGTTACAATATCATCGAGTTTTCGAATTTTGTCAGAGGTAATTTCATAGGCATACTTTTGAGAAGGCTGTTGACTTATTATCCTTATCAATAAGCTGTGTACCTGTATGCCAGAGCAATACCAAAGCAGCATTAATTGGGTGTCCTGGCTACTTTTTAATTCATAGTTATACCAGGCCAATAATTAGTGTTACAATATTATCGAGCTTTCAAAGTTTCCAAAAGTAGATCGACCGAGATAATTCCATTAGCATACTTTTGAGAAGGCTTTTGATTTATTACCCTTATCAACAAGCTGTGTACCTGTATGCAAGATCAATATCATAACCAGCATTAATTGGGTGTCCTAGCTACTTTTACATAGTTATACTAGGCCAATAATTAGTGTTACAAATATAATTTCCCCGGGGGTATTGTATATCAAACAATACAATATATCGAAAAAAGGTATTCATTGAGGCAAATTGGAAATGACAACAAAATTTTCCATATCTCATAAAATATTTGTTCCAACCCAGTTTGCCAGATTAAAATCTAGATTTTTGCTTGCCTAACTATCTGGCTAAATTTTTTATAGATTTTATAGGCCAATGAAGTCTAGAACAAAAGTAATAAACCTGGCAATGTAATTTCAGGCCATGATGTTTGCTATCATCCTACGGTGAATAGCAAAAGCCTTGGCAGTGTTTAGTTGGTATAAGAAGAAACACTTGATTACATACCGTTGTTTTTTAAGCTGACTTTTTCGTTTCGATTCATAAATGGAAAATCCAAGCATACCAAGGGAAAGACATTGAATACTTCAGAAAAATATCAAAGTTACGAAGTAATTACAAATATATCAGAATAATGTAACAAAACATTTAATTTTAAAGTTATATAGAAATACATATTTATGTATTGGCAACAAATTTCTAATCCTGCAATTGTTTATGTTCTTTTATTTTTAGAATCTGAATCTGAAGATGAACAAAAGAATGGCGAATAACATGTTCTAATTCAACAAGAAATAATATAATATTAGTAAAATAATGAAAACGGATGATATATGATATGATAATGATGGGTGGAATGACGAAGGAAGACGACAACATTGCCCCCCAAATAAAACCATGCAAAATATATATGAACATATTATAAGACTATGAAAGAGGATTTTTCCCTCTCAACAAACCCTATACTATATTAATATAACAAGAACAAGCTACTTTTGTTATCATCGGTGTAAACAACTTTAATAACTACCACGCAATAATGTCAAAATTATGAACAGATTCTGGGCAGACATTACCGGCAAACATTCAGAACCAATGCAATATCATCATTCACATTAATCTCTCAAGAAAAGAAAGAAACAATAACAACAAAATGAGGTTGGTCGTCATGAAAGGGATTTGTCAACAACAGCAACAAAAAAGCCCAAGTCACAAGTTTAGACACCATCAAACCAGCAGCAGCAATGGAAAACGCCACCTTCATTAATTGTAAAAAGAAGACCATACAATGCATATAAGCAGCAAAACACACACACATATACACCACTTACATACATACTATATAAATAACAACCAACAACAACCGTTATGGAATCCAAATTTTGACGGCAGTAAAATGGAAAAAAAAAATTGACAACAAGAAAACATATTTTATTGCAATATACAAACAAGAACAATTTATAGTAAAAAAAAAAATAAAATAAATTTAATAAAAAATAAATAAACAAAGAAATGGTATTATGCATTATACACATACAATATATAAATGATTGATGAAAATATAAAATAAAGATTTAATTATTATTATATATAAATGACAGAAATAATAAAATTGGTGGAATATCATCTCCTATAATAATAAACAACACTCCAAAATGCCATGATGATGATAAAAATAATTAAAAAAGGACATTGATGATGATGATCAGGTTATTGTTTTGTAACCACCACTCCAACCAAACAACCAGGCAAGAGCGCACAACAACAACCCAATGTGTGCAAACTAAAAATTATATAATTGCTGAAATTTTTTAGAATTTATTGTGTATTGAGAAAAAACAGCAACTACTACAACAAAAACCTACATTTTTTAATTTATTTTATTTTTTTTTTTCATTTGACCCCCTAAGAAAAATATCGAGTTGTCTGGAATAATAACCATCATATATTTTTTTCTATATACTTTTTTATTTATTTAATTTAAAAAAAAAAAAAACACAAAATTGAACAAATACAACAACACTACTCAACAACCAAAATTTTATTTGTTTTTTATTTATTTCTGTTTTTTTGTTAAGGAAACCAAAAGTGTAAAATCGTTTGTATCGTTTTACCTAAAAAAAAAAACAAAAACAAATAGACTTGAATTTTAATCTACAACCACAAATGGCTATTGCGTTTTATTTATTGATTTATTTATTTGTGGGAAAGGGAAAGTTTAGTGGTATTTTGTAAAACACGTTAGAAAGTTTCAGGTTTTGCCAAACTTTTTTTTTGCATACAAATAGACAAAATGCTGGCGCAATATCAATCGTCACATTTATTATAGCAAGTTTTTGTATGGCCAGAAGGTCATTTTCATATAAGATCAGAAGGTCTTCTTCATAAAAGACCTTCTGGCTTCTTCTTTTCGCCACAGAAAACCAGAAGATCTTCTCCACAGAAGACCGGAAGGTCTTCTCCATAATGAATGAGGTGATATACTTGGAAACAAGTAAAATAGTATCAGTCGGTTTTGCCGACAGATAGAAACCCCCAGCCTTGAGTTATGATTATTCAAACTGTTGAACTTTTATGGAGGAGGTTCTGAAGCAGTTGGCCAATATTGACCAATTCGTAACTGACCTAAGACTAATATAAATATTACAATGTGACAGAATTGAGCTATATCGACTACTTCCTATACTTTATATGTGATATGTGCAAATTTATGGAAAATGTGGAGGCAACAGATATAGCGGAACGAAGTATTCGATTTTGTAGTGGCGCTTGTGATGTCATTTCCGTTTCCCATTTTATCGTATTCAACTATTGCCGAGACATTTACAAGTATGCGGATAATGCAGTGTTGCATGCCAAATTCATCCTTGAAGTATGCTCACTTAAATGACGCCTTAACTCTAGATAATTGAGTCTAAATTAGCATGAACATAGATCTGTTCTTTTCTGCGACAGACATTTTGAAATATGTTGAATATGTATTTGTGGCAGACTTATTTATTTTTGCATCAGGCCGAAGTTAGAAAAGGGAGTAGTTGAACTAGCGGCATCGTCATTTTTTTCCGACATTAGACTGGCGCACATTGGCTTTATTCGGTTGAAGGAACATATTAAAGTTTATAAAGTTTCCTTTAAAGTTAATACTTTGGTTAGTCCGAGTAAAAATTTACCAAATTTTTTGTTGTTAAATATTTTATCTTTACAAAGCCGTGTGTAAGTAAATAAGTCAAAAGTAAAAAAAAAAAAAAAAACTGTAATGGTCAAATAAGTTAATAAAACCATTTCTTTCGGATCTAATAGCCGGGTCCCCTTGGGAAAACTTCATCAGTGCCAGAAGCTTTCACCTATCATTTGTTGCCTTAAGTAACTCGTTTGCAAAATGCTGATCGTTTAACAAAACATAAGGAATTTTATGTGCATCACACATATGTATGTACATATGTCATCTTTGTTTGAAACAATTTCCTCATAAATTTCCTAAATCTTGGAATCCAAGTCATTGGGTAAGACATTTTTTGGTGTTCCTCTTGTTCTCTTAAAGAAGCAAACTCTTATTAGGGTGGTCTTCTTCTTCTTCTTCCAGAGACTCCATAAAAACACTCCACAAATAGTGTTACATTTTAACCACCTATCAATTGGCAGAGAGAATCAAGCAGTACTTAGTTTTGTTGTTCGGTGTCTAGTGAGCGGTTGCTGAAAGTTTCTCCCTCGTGTAAATAGTTTATAGAAACCAAATTGAAGTTTCGGAAAAGAAGAATATTCAAAAGTGAATGCCAGCCATTTTGAAGGAAAAATCATTCTCCAGAATTTATTATAATGAACTTCATTTAAAGAAAGTTAAAACTTTTCATTTGATACCATACTCGGCTTTACTACACATTTTTATATTTGATCTGGGCAAGTGTGTGTATAAGTAAACAACGATTTCAATATTACGCTAAATAGTAAAAAACTACTTTTGTTGCACCTACATCAGCCATAACAAAAAAAACCCGCCAGCAAAGTTAATATATGTGCAAACCCCATATTATTCGATGTTGTAAGTGAAATATTTAAAAACCTGCATTACATCCTAATTCAACATAACCTCATAGCATCATCAACAAATCATCATATACAGGCGTCTAGAATCGAAAGGCCTTTCGTCGCTGGATACTCTGTAATGTAAGTGTTTTTTTGTCTTTACTCAATCTTTGTTATTATATGCCTCATATTATTTCTTGGAACTTTGGAGAAACTAAAGTCACCCCTCGCTCTTATTTGTGGATCGGTACTGCAGCTGCTCTCATTTCTATTTTACCAGTACCGTTACTCTCAGGGTGAGATTAGTCTGTCCAAAATTCCAAGTATTTTTAAATTATTTTGGGTTTTTATAATATATTATCTGCTGCGGAAACCATTTTAAAATTTTCATTTCCTGGATATTGCCACAATTAAAAGGTTGAATGTTGGCAGTACGTACTTTGTGGCATTACCATTCTGGTAATGTTTCTTTGTTACAGTTTTAAAGACATAGTAAAGCCTGCCCACATTCAACCCAAAACTGTTATACTGATTTCTACATTTATGTTTTGTAACTGAGAGTGTAACTACAGAGTTCTCTCAATATAACGGATCTCTATTATTTTGATCTGTTTCTTTCTCATTGGTTTTTTTTTCCTCTGTCCGTTTTCATATATTCTAACAAAATTCAATAATTAATATTGAAGCGGTCGACGACCTCAAATGCATGACCAGCTGTTAAAGTTTGAAAATCACCTTTGAATTGTTTGTTACATTTATACACACATATGCTTCCCTTCTGATTATACATTTAAATCATAGTACTAAACATAAAAAAAACTCATCATTTTGTATTAAATTTAATTCAATTAAAACAAATTTAATAATAATTAAGAGAACCTTCACAGAATTGTCTTAGAATGTAAATATCTTTATTTAAGGTTTTTCTGATATAAAATTTTGAATAATTTCTTTATTGAAATGTTGGTAAAATTTACCATGCTTTGAATTAAAACCGATTGTTTGACTTAAACGGCATCTGAAGTAAAGGTCAAGGGGGTGATCGTATGGGTTACCAGTGATTTATCGGTGGATACCGGGTAACATGGTTGGGAGGGCGAAAAAGGGCCATGCAATAACACCAGCATATCCCTTCGGCTTAGATAAGATTAAAGAGTCCCTGCATCATTCTATCCTATGTCTATTCAATCCTCTTTACTATGCATGCTTTGAACAAAACTTATTAAATTGATTTAATGTGGATAATCTTCGATAGACGATGGCAAGATCCCACCCCACCGACGAGCAATAAGGCTTCGGGAATAAGCATGTCAACGCCATTTGTCTATGCCAGAAGTGAGTTGAAGGTTTCGCTGTAAACCCTACATAAATAGCCATTGGTTGTATGCTACATAAATAAAATTTTGGCGCCCAACGTGGGGCCCGAGTGATTTTTGATTAAATTAGGTTCTACTTGATAGAGCAAAACACTCTACTATTTCATATATTTTGTTATATCACTCAGCCTCTATTTCCTTTTTTTTCAAGTTCTTTATTCTTTCTATTTCTTTTTCTTTTCTGATGGGCTAAAACAATGCTGTGGAATTTACTATTCATTAAATGCATTATGGCTATTGAATGTAACCTGGTGTTGTTATCCTGTTGTCTCTACCTTTAAATTTTGTTTCCAGAATTTTTGATGACAGGAAATCAGCTTTTGTTCTGGAGCTGACCTTCTGATGAATTCAGTTAACATCATTCTTTTTTGTTTACAATTCGGAATATGTAAAGATTATTGACGATTTTTACATCCATTGTAATTGTACTCTCTATATATTCTCCTCTTTCTCTTTTCTAAGGACATTTATTTTACTCTTTTAATA